TGAGGGAAATTGAGACCCTCCCTCAGGGCCCCTGAGAGCGATGAGGCCAGATTACTCACAGCAGCAGCTGGAGGCAGCGTGGGATCTAAGCCACAGAAGAAGGGACCAGCAGACCCAAGCTCCTGTGTGATCAGTCTAAGAAAGCTTCCTGGAAGAGGTGGCATTTGGCATGTAGAATATTCGAGCAGATAGAGAGAAAACTCTCTTTTTCACTGAGAGTATTCCAAGGGTCCATATCCCTTGTTTCATTGACTTCTCACAGTGAACCTGTGGTAGGGAGTGTCATCTTTATTTTCAGTTGAAGATTTTTATGCTCAGCAAGGTGAGGTGACTTGCCCAGCGGCACACAACAAGACTGGCAGAGTTGGGAATCAACCAGAGTTGTCTGGCTCCGGAATCTATGTCCTTCTCACTGGCCCACATGGCCTTGCAGTGTGCTTGTCTGCCTGGTGGGGAGGGGAAAACAAGACTGGACAGGTCAGCTGGGGCCAGAACCTGCCAGGCTCAGAGGTCTACACTGTAGCTGTAGCAGTGGAAGAGCCACTGAAGGTTCCCTAGCAGGGAGGTGTGTGTGGCTGGAGCCTGGCTCCCAGAGGATCACTTTGGAAGTTACAGAGGAGAAGCAGGCTTGGGGAAGGGGGGAGTAGATGTGCAGAGAAACAATCAGAAAGTGGTGTGAAAACAGGATGATAAACTATGAGAGGCTTTGGTGGGGCAAGGGAGTGACTCAGGGTCCCGTGGGAATTAGGACAGGTGTCTTTGAACTGGTCCAAGTTGAGCTGCGCTTTGTCAGAGCCAGCACAGTTCAGTGGGAAGTGTGGCCTCTGGAATTAGGTAGGCCTGGGTTCGGATCCTACATCAGCCTCTCCGGCATGATACATAGGAGCTTGGTTCTTTTCTTGTTAGTAAAATGGAGATTCCCCTCCCAGTGAGGATTAAATGAGATGGTGTAGAGTGCCCAGTGACTGGCACGTAGGAGCCATGTGGGAAATGTCACCTTATCAGAACAAAATGCAACAGCCAAGAGGTCATCAGGAGCTGGGGGAAGTGTGTGTGTCCTCTGCCAGGCAGGCAGCTCGTGGGGCAGGCTGATAGACTGCAGGCCTGCAAGCACCGCCAGAGCCCCTGGTCCTGCAGTCTCTTGGAGCCCACTGGGCGAACTCTTGGCGCTTCTGGGAGCTCTCGTCCCTCTGCCTGGACTGCTCTTGGCTCAATTTCCTTGGATGCCCCCCTGTTCTGGGTGCAGAGCCATGTGGGCTTGCATGTGGATGCTGAATAAACATTTGTTTCAGTGGGTAATACCTCTGGTCCTACCTTAGCCTCTTTAGGGTGAACTGGCTTTCCCACGTGGGGAAGTAACTTGCCAGGCTGTTTTGCTGCCTGAGGTTGGGGGCAGGGGAGGGCAGTGAGCCTAGGCTCCGGCTGTGTGGCCTTGCGCGTGTCCCTTTCCTGCTCTGGCTTAGCCCAAGAGGCCAAGAGGACTCAAGATGTGGACTTGGGACATAATCTAATTTCCAAATAGGGTGGTTTCTAGAAACTACCGACATCCCCTCTGATGATATTATGGAGCTAGCCAGCAAAGCGTGGGTAAGCGGTTAGTGGAGGACGTGGAGACCACAGGACGCAGTGTGAGTCCCTGCCAAGCAGGTCAGGCTGGTCTTTCACGTGTCCATGTTTGATTGGTTTTACTGGATGCCAGGCTGGTGGATAGAGGTTGCCACAGACACGATAATCGTCAAGACACCAAAACAGGAGCTGGATGAGGGGGCTCTCAGCTGGATTTGCAGCAAGTCAAACAGCATCTCTAGAATGTTTATTAATAAATGGGTGTCAGGCTTGGGGGTAGTCTAGGTGAAGGGTTGCTGAGCAGAGCTGATACTCAAGATTACAAATGACTGTTTCCAGTGACCCTCGTGGGGGGTAGGGGGAGGCTGGAAGCAGTGTGTTCATGGACATTTGTTGACAGCTCTCTGGGCCGGATTCTGTGCCCACATTCCCCATGGTCAGAGAAATGGTTCACATAGAGCCTTTTTTTCAAGGGCTCATGGGTGGGAGGAAGTCCAGACACTCAAAAGATGGAATCATCTGTGATGAGAGAGCACATAGAATAGGGGCAGACAGCTCTGCCTAGGGAGTGGGGAATAAGGAAGACTTCACAGATGAGAGGTCATCTGAAGTGGGTTTTGAAGGTCAAGCAGGAGTTTTCTAGGTGAATGAGGTGGGGACAAGAAGGTAGAGGTCTGAGAGGAGATGATGATCCTGTTTTGGACTTGCTGAGTTTGAGTGCCTCCTGTCAAGAGACCTGTTCAGCAGATGGGAGTCCATGCAGGAATGAACAATGGTTGGGGGGTCCTGGGGATAACAACTTGGGAGCAGCCATTCAGGAGGTGGTAATTAAGCCTTGAGGTGGGAGTGCAGAGTGTGCAGTGAAAACAGAACGAGCATAGATGCCTTATACGGGAAGCAGCAGGAAGATAGAGCAGTGAAGGAGATGGGGACAGAAGACCCAGAGGGGTGAGAAGAAACCAGGAGCGTCAGGGAGGGGAGGGTTTCAAGGCAGGAGTCAACAGGGCTAGATGCTGCCGAGGGGTCAGTTGAGACCGGGCCTGTCAAGTGTCCATAGGATTTAGCAACAAGGAGGGTGTCGGTGACTTTGTCAAGAACAGTTCAGCAGAAAGATGTGGTCAGAAGCCTGGCTGCAGTGGATTGCCCGGCGAGGTGACATTTGAGCCAGGACGTGAGTGGCAAGTGAGAAACTGAAGTGCCAGCTGTGACCGCTCATTGATGGTGAAGAGAAGCTGGAGGGCAGTGGCTGGAAGAGGAAGGAAGGTCAGGGGGCTCCCCCAGAATGGAGGCCGCCTAGGTCTGTTCACGGGCTGCCATGGAGTGAATGCTGACGAGCCTGGTGAGCGAGGGGGTAACGCCAGAAGGCGGATGGAGGATGCAGGCCAGGCCGAGTGGCTGGCCCCTGGGAGGAGCGGGGCTGCTGGGAAGCTGGGAGTTGGAGGGGCAGGGCAAGCAGTCAGGGGCTCCCAGGTCACAGCCTCTGCTTCCTCTGTAAAGGAGTTTGTTGCAGAGAGAGAGTGGGTGGAGATGAGCTTGAAGAGAGAGGTCAAGGTCTGGCACAGCCAGCCGAGGTGGAATGGGGAAAGTAGGGAGCCGGGAAGGCTGCTGAGAAGCCCTGGGCGCCCAGCGGATGTGCGGCCCCAAGTCTGTCACGGTGCCAGTTGGCTCAGCTGGAGATTTCTTCACAGCCTGGGGGTGGGCGTGGAGAAAGTGGCTTGTTACAAGGCTCTGGGGCGGGGGGCTGGCTGAGCAGGTGCGGCGGAAGGGCTGGGTGAGGAGATTCTGGAGCCAGTGGGCGTGGTGCCAACACCTTCTCTGTGGTCCTGGTAGAGGCAGATTCGGTGAGGCCAGGAGGGACGGCAGATGCTGGACGCTCAGGGGCTGGAGATGGCATGTGAGGGTGCAGAGGGGTGGAGGTTGTGAGGGGAGGGGGATGGTAAAAATCAAGCAGGTAGTTACTGCTGTTTGAGTGTTTGCCACGTGCCAAGCAGGGTGGTGAGGGCTTCATGGGCTCCTGTCAGAAAGGCAAAGACACTTGCCCAAGATCACACAGCTGGTCAGTGTCCACGTCTCAGCAGAGATTCCTGACTCCCAAACTTCCCTGGTGCCCAGGTTTCAGAGATGGTGGAGAAGTTTTGGGGATTATGTAGGTCAGGTCCTGGGACTGGTAGCTGAAGTGGAAGACAGGCCCCGGAGTTGATACACCCAGAAGCTGGGCTGAGTGTGACAGTTCAGGGGCCCATGCACAGTGGGCAGCTCAGGGTGGCCACTCTTCATGCCTGGTCAAGAAGAGCTTTCAGACGCAGAGCATGGACTGGGCAGCAGGGGGCAGGAAGATTACAGCCCTCTTGGGTTCTTTTAAACACAAGAATGCCTGTTTGGAGCTGACCTGGCTTTGAGAAATAGGAGAGAGCCTGGGGATGGGGGAGAGGAGTGCCTTCTAGTCTGTGGGCAGCATGGGCTGAGCCCTGTCCCAAAATACTATTCCAGTCCCACCTTGCCTGCGGCCTGTTCATGGGCTGGGTCTTTGCCCTCTGCACTCATGTCTGCCCCCCATCTCTGCTACCCAGCATGCTGGAGAGGGCCTGGATGAGCTCATGTCTGAGCAGGAGGGGCTGGCTTTGGAAAATGGGAGCTCCCAGCCCCTCCTGCAGCATTGGCGGAGCTTCCAGTGCTTAGACCAGACACATAAATCAGGGTGGCCAAGAGCCCGGGGAGGCTGGGACTGAGGCAGCAGCAGCCTCCTGCAACACCTGCTGCTCTCGTAGCCACAGGGGCTGTGTGAGGAGGGGCTGCCAGATGCCCTATGCCCTCCGGTCTCAGAGGAATGTCATTCTGACCTGCATGTCCAGGTCACAGGCTAGTACTTCTTGGGGAGCAGAATCTAGGCCTAAGACCCAGCCCCTGGCTTGGCATGAATTGTGTCTGAGAGTCAGGTTTGGGGGTGGTCTGTTAGCTCCGAGAGTCAGCCGTGGGAGGGGAAGGAGCCCGGGCTTCAGGCTCACCGAGCTGTGTGTTCTTGGATAGGTCACTTCCCTTCTCTGAGCCTTAGTTTCCTCATCTTTGAACAGACGGTCTCTACTTCCCAGGGGAGGATGAAAGGAGACAGGCATGGACGGCACCTGGCACGGCAGCCTCCCAGAGCTCATGAATATGAGTGGCCACTCCTCTCCAGTCACCCTGGTCTGGCTGAGGCAAGAGGAGGAAAAGATGGCTGTGAGGCTCTGGGCGAGTCCTCTGTGGCCTTCTGAGCCTCAGTTTCCTTATCTGTGAAATGGTGGTGGGGCAGGGGGCAGGATGTGATGCTCACTCAGCATTGCCTGCAGTTGGTTCCAGACCCTCAGGCAGAGGGCGAGCAGGGCTGCCCTCTCTGTGCCACTCTGGCAGGACAGAGCTGGCCTTTGCTGACCCCTGCCACCACCTCCGTGTTCCAGGTGAGGAGCCGGAAGAGGAACCGAAGGTGAAAACCCAGTGGCCAAGGTCTGCGGATGAGCCTGGGCTATACATGGCGCAGACAGGTAACCGGGCCCGCCTCCCTTCCTCTGTGGCGGGGGCCCGGCTGGGTGGTGTCTGCTGGCATGTGTGCTCGGCGTGTGCCCATCTGTGTCTGTGTCCTGGAGTTCAGTCGCGTCTCTGCCATGTAGGCCTGTGGGCAGGGCTGGGTTGCCCCGTGGAAGGCCTGTTGCTTGGGGTCAGGGTAGGAGGAGTCCCATGAGACCGAGTGCTTGGGAGATGCCCCCCCACCGCCGACGCTGTCCCTCTCTTGTAGGCGACCCGGCGGCTGAGGAGTGGTCCCCGTGGAGCGTGTGTTCCCTGACGTGTGGGCAGGGTCTGCAGGTGCGGACCCGCTCCTGTGTGTCCTCCCCCTATGGGACCCTGTGCAGCGGGCCCCTGCGGGAGACCCGGCCCTGCAACAATTCAGCCACCTGCCCAGGTATGCCCGTCTTCCCACCTGGTCTGCCTGCAGGGTTAGGTCCTGCCTGGGACTTGGGCAGGTTAATCCTCCAAAGATGGTTGGTTGCCTCGTCCTCTCATTCAGCAAACTTTGCTGTGCCCCATGCCATGCCCAGCCCCACTAGGGACACAGATGAATCAGACCAGGGCCCACAGCAGTGGGCTCGGTTATGGGCATGTCACTCCTGTGATACCTGTGCCCTGGTAATCAAAGCTCATCTTCCCACTCTCACCGCCCTCTGGTCACACCAGCACCTCGCACTCTCCCCACCTCCTTGCATTTGATTGTCGTCCTATCCACCTTACCTCCACCTTGGCTATTAAAATTCATTCTGTCCTTCAAGATCTAAGACAAATATCACTTAAAAAAAAGGAAAGAAACCTTCCCTGATCATCCCTTCCCTCCTCAGACTGCCTGTCTCCCTCCCCAGGGTGCTTCCCCTGGACCCTTCAGCCTTCTCAGTTCAGCATGGAGTTGTTGAGAATGTGCATGTGCCTGCCTGAGACAAGTGGTTGGCCATGAGGGGCGGGCAGGGCAGTGCACCCCGAGGTAGTGAAGTGGTGCCTAGTCCACTACCAGCTCCTGGCTGTAGGTTTAGAGTAGGGCTACTGGGCAGGGGTCTGATATCTGCGGGTGTAGCAGGAGCTTGCAAAGGGCTGGGGCAAAGCTGTATTCCAGAGTGAGCTGTTTGTGTCAGTGTCCATGTAGAGGTTCATGTCTATTTGTGTGTCCATGCGCTTGTGGTTGGGAAGGGCAGGTTTCTTGCCCCAGTCTGCCATGTTGGATTCTTGCTCTGGGTCTGGGATCGGGAGGGGTGAGGTGGGGTAGGGTGGGGTGCATCTTGAGATCTTTCCTGGGCTTTCTTGTGCCCACAGAAGAGAAGGACCCCAGGCTTCCCTTCTGGGTGATCCTAGTCTCCCTGTCAGGTGACCACAGGTGGTGTCCTGTGTGAATTGGGATTAGAAGCCTGTGTCTTCCACATCCAGCAAGGGCTGAGTCGCCCAGGACAGAGCCAATGAGGAGCGGCCGCAGAGCTGCTGGTGCTCCTGATTGGTGGGCGGATGGGCAGTGGGCGGGGCCAAGGTGCAGCCCAACCACCGGCCACGTGCTTCCTTGCAGTGCACGGCGTGTGGGAGGAGTGGGGGTCCTGGAGCCTGTGCTCCCGCAGCTGCGGGCGGGGGTCCCGGAGCCGGATGCGGACCTGCGTGCCCCCCCAGCACGGCGGCAAGGCCTGCGAGGGTCCCGAGCTGCAGACTAAACTCTGCAGTATGGCCGCCTGCCCGGGTCAGTAGTGCCCATGGGCTTCCAGGCGGGCGCTGCGCAGCCGGGTGGGGGTCGGGAGACCCAGGGGAGGCAGTCAGGTCCAGTGCCCTACCCCTGGGGGCCCCATGAACTTTGACCAAGCATGGAAAAATTGGCGAAGTATACCTGCCAGTGTGGGAGGTGACCTGACTCAGCCCAGACTTGGAGCTGGCACACCGTAACCCCAGGAGAAGGGGGCTGCTTATCATTTTCCCTTCCCCTAAGCCCTGGGCTACCCTTGATGTTCATGGCACTTTGATGTTATAGCCAGCTGGGCTGTGAGGGGACACAATGCTGGGCTTAAGTGTGGGCAAAGATCAGAAGGTGCCCCTGGGCCCATTTCCCTCGCCAAAAGAGAGCACTTGCCTTGGTGCTGAGTGGAGAGGTGTCCTGTGTTCCTGGAGCTGGTGACAGGCAGGCAGGCCCAGGCCCAGATACCACCTGCTCACTCCAGCCCCACTTCATCCCTCCCTCTTCAGTGGGTCTGGCCTGTTTCAAGTTGGAATGCCTAGCAGACTGCCATCTCCCTGCGGTGTTCGGCCCCCACCAGTCTCTGCACCCCTTGCTCAACGGCCACCTCTGCTTGTGTCTCCCCATGCAGTGGAAGGCCAGTGGCTAGAATGGGGTCCCTGGGGCCCATGCTCCACATCTTGTGCTAATGGGACCCAGCAGCGCAGCCGGAAGTGCAGCGTGGCAGGCCCAGCCTGGGCCACGTGTACAGGTGCCCTCACTGACACCCGCGAGTGCAGCAACCTCGAGTGCCCGGGTGAGTGCTCAGTGCAAGGGTAGCAGGCGGCAGCTCTGGACCTGGGGGCACTTGGGGGCACTCACACCCCCTCTCTCCTGCAGCTGCAGATGGCAAGTGGGGGCCTTGGAACTCATGGAGCCTGTGTTCCAAGACCTGTGATACAGGCTGGCAGCGCCGCTTCCGCATGTGCCAGGCCACAGGTGCACAGGGCTACCCCTGCGAGGGCACCGGAGAGGAGGTGAAGCCCTGCAGTGAGAAGAGGTGTCCAGGTATTGCTTGCAGGATGCTGGGGATTGGGGGATAAGTGTGGAGCCTGGCTGAGCCCCTCCACTGTACCCGCAGCATTCCATGAGATGTGCAGGGATGAGTATGTGATGCTGATGACGTGGAAGAAGGCGGCTGCTGGCGAGATCATCTACAACAAGTGTCCCCCCAATGCCTCAGGTGAGGGGTGGGGTGGCTCTCCCCAGAGGCCCCCGCCCATGCCATTCTTGATGTCCCCTTCTTTAAGCCTCCAACCTGAGGCCTGGAGTGAAGTGGGTAAGAGCACAGCTCCCACCCCCATCCCTCTGTCCTCTCCCCCTGCAGGATCTGCCAGCCGCCGCTGTCTCCTCAGTGCCCAGGGCGTGGCATACTGGGGGCTTCCCAGCTTTGCCCGCTGCATCTCCCACGAGTACCGCTACCTATATCTGTCAGTGAGTGTGCCCTACTGGGCTGGGGCAACACTGGATCTGGTAGTGGGTGGAGGGAGCTTGAGTCTTGCTAATGCCCATGTGCCTTGGCATACATATGCTGTGCCCACTACTGCCTGGCTGTGCCTCTCCATGTCTGGCAAACTCCTACTCACACCTCAAGGCGTAGTACCTTTCCTCGTCCCTTGTGCGTACTGCTGCGCTTCTGCAGCTCCCTGAGCTTCTCAGCCATTAGGTGTTTATGAGTGCTCATTGAAATGTCTGTATCCTGTTAGACTGGGAGCTCCTTGAAGGCAGAGACAAAGTTAGATTTATTTTTGTGTCCCAGTGCCCAGTCCAGGGCCTGCCGTGGGGTAAGAATGTGGCCTGTGTGTATGAGTTTGTCTGACTGGAATTAGTACTTGATAGATAGGTGTTTGCACTTGGAGCCTGTATTTGAAAGAGAGAGAGCTCATTACACTCCATAGTGTGCCTGATCCCCCAGGATAAAGAGGGGCCTTGTCCCTGTGTTGTGCTGGTCATCTTTTATATGTACATCTGAGTACCAAGGTTCTTTCTCTACCTATTTCTATTTCAGTCACTTCTAAGTATTTTTGGGGATTCTCTCTCTTTATGGTTCTCTTTCTTGGATTCTGTCTCCCTGTGAGCCCCTTTGAGCATCTGTATCTGAACCTTCCCCCACTCCCCCAACCCCGCTCTCCTTCCCTGGATGCAAGCAATGGGTGAACTGGAGTGGGATGGGCTAGGGGCTGGTCCCAGCTCCTGACAGTCCAGTGACAGTGGCCTTCTGGTCACCTGCAGCTTCGGGAGCACCTGGCGAAGGGGCAGCGTATGCTGGCAGGCGAGGGCATGTCACAGGTGGTGCGCAGCCTACAGGAGCTTCTGGCTCGGCGCACCTACTACAGCGGGGACCTGCTCTTCTCTGTGGACATTCTGAGGAATGTCACTGACACCTTCAAGAGGGCCACCTATGTGCCCTCGGCTGACGATGTGCAGGTACTATCCTGTCCTGGAAGGAAGGGAGAGAAGGTGCAGAAGCCCTAGATGGAAGGGGAGGCCAGGCCCCTATGGTAGAGTCTGCTGGGAGTGGCAAGTCTGGCTGTGCTGGGGAACCTACCGTCCCTGGGCCTGGGACCTCCTGACACTCACTGCTCTCTCTCCAGCGCTTCTTCCAGGTGGTGAGCTTCATGGTGGATGCCGAGAACAAGGACAAATGGGATGATGCTCAGCAGGTGAGGGCTGGGGAGGCTTCTGTCCCTCCCTGTGACCTACCCCTGCCTTGGGCCCTTACACACTCTGCCTCCAGGTGTCCCCTGGCTCTGTGCACCTGCTTCGTGTTGTGGAGGACTTCATTCACCTGGTGGGCGATGCTCTCAAGGCCTTCCAGAGCTCTCTGATTGTGACAGACAACCTGGGTACGGGCAAGCTGGTTGGGGAGGGGTGCTGGCTGTTGCAGAACCCAGGCCACCATGGCGGAGGGATGGTTTCTGAGGGCTTCTCCTATTTTTCTCTTGCTCTTTCTCTCGGCCCTGTCTTTCCCTCATATAACTCCTTCTTTTGATGTATTTCTCCATGTTTCTTCCTCTCCTCCATCTCTGTGTCGTTTCTCTGTGTATGTGTCTCCCTACCTGTGTTTGTTCCAACCTCGGTGTCTGCCTCTGCCTTCCTGATGTCTGTCTCTACCACATCCATCTCTTCCTCTGTGACCATCCCCTGTCTGTCTCTGCTGTGGTCTGCCCAACCTCCTCCCGCTGCAGTGATCAGCATTCAGCGAGAGCCCGTCTCAGCCGTGTCTAGCGACATCACGTTCCCCATGCGGGGCCGCCGGGGCATGAAGGACTGGGTGCGGCACTCAGAGGATCGCCTCTTCCTGCCCAAGGAGGTGCTCAGCCTCTCCTCCCCAGGAAAGCTGGCTGCGTCTGGAGCAGCAGGCAGCCCTGGCAGGGGACGGAGCCCAGGAACAGTGCCCCCTGGCCCAGGGCACTCCCACCAGCGCCTCCTCCCGGCAGACCCTGATGAGTCCTCCTCCTACTTCGTGATTGGTGCTGTGCTCTACCGCACCCTTGGCCTCATCCTGCCACCCCCTAGGTGAGTCCCTGGGAAGGGTGGATGGGGCTGCTGAGGGTCCCGGGAGGCCCAGGTGAGAGGAGGAGGACTGAGCCTGTGCTGGCTACACAGATCCGTCTGCAGCCTTCTATAGCCTTGGGACCACTTGACTGGCTCTGGACACAGCTGCTTCTCAAAGATGTCCACGCAGCCCCCAGAAGCTTCAAGGAGGGTTTGGGGGTGTTGGCTTGAGCTCTGGACCCCAGCCAAAGTCTTGGGCCACACCAAACTGGAGGCATGCCCCTGACCTTGGCCCCTGGTATCATCCTGTCCCCAATCCTAAGCACCTTCAGGTTCCCAACTGAGTCTGGGCACCCATTGGCAGGAGCTGACCTCGGTACCTGTTTTCCAGGCCCCCGTTGGCCGTCACTTCCAGGGTGATGACAGTGACAGTGCGGCCTCCCACCCAGCCACCAGCTGAGCCCCTTATCACAGTGGAGCTCTCCTACATCATCAACGTGAGTGGGGGCCAAAAAGGGACCCCGGGTAGACCCCAACATGGGTGGCCTGATTCCCTGAGAGCAGGCTGGGCCTCTGACCTGTGTGGGGCCTGCTGTGGCAGGAGCAGTGGTGGGCTCACCACCCCACACTGAGCTCATATCTCCTGTTCCCCAGGGCACGACGGATCCCCGCTGTGCCAGCTGGGACTACGCCAGAGCGTGAGTTGGGCAGGGGCTCTGTGTGGGGAAGGGTGCAGCCCTAGGATTCCTCCCCTGCCTGGAAGGCTAGAGGGTTCCTTGGTGCCATTCTTGGCCTAAGGGATCAAGGGCACATCCTGGGGCTCCCAACTGCCTGCCTCTTGGATGTGGCCTTGCCCTGGGCAGTGGCCAGCACTAAGGATGGGGCCACAGAGCTGGCCCGGGGCTCACTCCATCTCTCTGCTCACCCAAGAGATGCCAGCTCTGGGGACTGGGACACTGAGAGCTGCCAGACCCTGGAGACACAGGCAGCCCACACCCGCTGCCAGTGCCAGTACCTGTCTACCTTTGCCGTGCTGGCCCAGCCGCCCAAGGACCTGGTGAGTGGGAGGGAAGTGCCTGGTCTGGGCAGGGGAGTTGTGGCCATCTGTACTGGTGTTGGCAGGGACCTGGGTGATCCCGCATGTGCCGCTGAGCAGGTGCTTTTGTGAGATGGCACATGGATGTCTGCACCACCCGAGGGGCATGGTGCTCACAGTGACACATGTGCCTGGGGGGAGGTGTGGTGGTGGGTGATCCCATGGTAAACACATGTGTGCATGTCTGGTTGTGTGTGGGTGAGTGTAAGTATGCATCCATGTGTGTAACTGGGTCTATACTGAGTCCCCTTTGCGTGTGGGTGTGATGAGGGTGCAGGTACCAGTCTGTACTAGGCAGCAAGTGGGTGGGTGAGGGCACCCCGGCCACTGTCCTCTCCCAGTGACTTGTCGGACTGCCTGATCATCTCCCCCCAGACCCTGGAGCTGGCAGGCTCCCCCTCGGTCCCCCTTGTGATTGGCTGTGCCGTGTCCTGCATGGCACTGCTCACCCTCCTTGCCATCTATGCCGCCTTCTGGAGGTAGGTAGGCCACTGGGTGGGGTGGGCAGGAGGTGGCCAGCTACCCCAGGTTGGGTGGGGCAGCTAGCTCCTCTGTCTCTGCCCTCTGTGCCCTCTCAGGTTCATAAAATCGGAACGCTCCATCATCTTGCTGAACTTCTGCCTGTCCATCCTAGCATCCAATATCCTGATCCTTGTGGGCCAGTCTCGGGTGCTGAGCAAGGCAGGTGCAGGCTCATGGGGGTGCCTCAGTGGGAGGGGGGACAGGAGCGAGGGTGGAGAGTGTTTGGGGGTGACGGCACGTGTTGGTGTGTGTGTGTACTCAAGGGACGGGTGTTTGTACACACTCAAGCTGTGTGTTGGGTGAGGGGGTGTGTGGGAAATAGTGTGTGAGCATACGTGAGGGCGTTGGAGAGGGGGTGTATGTGTACTCAAGTGACGAATGTCTGTACATCTGCGAATGTGTACGTGAGCTGAGTGCCTGTGTGCACACGTGTTGGACGGGTGGCATTTGTGGAGCCTGGGCCTCCTCATGTCTGCAGGCGTGTGGGAGCCCGAGTGAGGCCTCCTGCGCCACCTGCCTATGGATGATCTGTGCCGGCTCTCCCTTGTGCCCCCTCAGCCTTCTCCGCACAGTGCCAGCATGGCGAGTGCCAGGCATGGGGCCCACCCAGCCGTGACGTGGCAGGTGCTCTGTCCCCTCCCTGCCAGCCCTGTCTGTGCGTGGGTGGCCTGCCCGCCCGCCTCCCGGATGCTGAGTGCTGCGTGTGTGTCACCGGGCCTGTGTCGTGCTGTGTGTGGGTGCAGAAAGATGGGGGTGCCTGGCAGGGCTCTGTGGGGGGCGGAGCTCGGGTAGGCGGCCGTGGCAGCGCCCAGCAGCGGGTGTGGGAAGCCTGGCGCCGCCCGCCCTGACGGCTGCTCAGGGCCACCTCCCCCCTCTCCCCACAGGGTGTGTGCACCATGACGGCTGCCTTCCTGCACTTTTTCTTCCTCTCCTCCTTTTGCTGGGTGCTCACTGAGGCCTGGCAATCCTACCTGGCTGTCATCGGACGCATGCGCACCCGCCTCGTTCGGAAGCGCTTCCTCTGCCTGGGCTGGGGTGAGCCTGGCTGCGCTGGACTCTGTCACGGGGCCTTGGGGTCAGGAGCAGCAGCAGTGGCTCAGTGGCCCTGGCCTCACTCAGTGGCCCTGCCCAACTCTGGGCACAGGGTACAGCTGAGCTGGGGGTCTAGGAGGATGAGCTGGCTCTGAGGTCCGGCAGCTGTCTCACTGTGTCCCCCCTGCTCCCCCAGGTCTGCCTGCCCTGGTGGTGGCTGTGTCTGTCGGTTTTACCCGCACCAAAGGATATGGTACATCCAGCTAGTACGTGGGCCTCCCATGGTGGGCAGCGGGGGCCAGTGGACCTGTTAGGGCACCAGACTGGGCATTAGGTCTTCTCAGGCTGCAGTCCTGGACCATGCCTGCTGTGAGACTTCAGGCAAATTCTTCCTGGTCTCTGAGCCCCAGTTTCCCTGACTGTAGAGGGATTGGATAATCTCTAAGAACCATTTTGCTCAGGGGTCACCCTTGTTTGATCCCCACGGTAGTCCCAGGGGCGGGCCTTTGTTCGAGGCGAAACCAAGGCTCAACAGGAGCCATCCCTGTAAACCGTGCCTGGGGCTCGGCCCCACTGGTAACATGGGCCTGGCAGCCCAGGGGTCACTGAGAGATGTTGTTTGAGGATGGGGAGCAAGCCGCTGGGTGTCTGACAGTCCCTGTCTCCCCCCAATCCAGCTGCTGGCTCTCCCTGGAGGGTGGCCTGCTCTATGCCTTTGTGGGCCCTGCAGCAGTCATTGTACTGGTACGTGCCCCTTCAGTGTCCTGGGAGGGCGTGGCCCCGGGGGATCTACCTCCTTCCTGCACTCTTAGCTTCCACCTGGGGGTTCCCTTGCCAGGGGGGCACATGTTGATGCCCACCGCACTGTGCCCTCAGGTGAATATGCTCATTGGAATCATTGTCTTCAACAAGCTCATGGCACGTGATGGCATCTCAGACAAGTCCAAGAAGCAGAGGGCCGGGTAAGGGGGTGTCTCTGTGCTTGGCCTTGTGGGAAGTGGTGTGGGAGGGAGGGTTCTTGGAGACTCAGGGTTTGATGATACAACCAGGGCTCCCTGACCTTGGTACATCAAGGGCGCAGGCAGGGTGGGCACCCAGATGCTCAGCTGCAGCCCCCTCACCCACCCTAACCCACCTCTTTCTCTCTCATCTGCCCTCCCCCTCCCACCCTACTTGGGGCTCACACTGCCCTGTCTCCTCCCACTTCCCATGTGTTTTCCCCCCTTCTCCCGTGTCTGTGCCGCCCCCGAGGTCGGAGCGGTGCCCCTGGGCCAGCCTGCTCCTCCCCTGCTCAGCGTGTGGAGCGGTCCCCAGCCCCCTGCTCAGCTCAGCCTCGGCCAGGAACGCCATGTTAGTTGTGCCCCCCGGGGCTGGGGTGGGAGTGGGCGGGGCAAAAGAATGGGGGGCAGTGCCAATGGTGGGGTGGGGGAGGGATTTCAGCCCAGAGCCCTGGAAAGCTTGTTCTGCCCCATCAGCTGCCACACACTCTGAAGGGCTCCACTTCGAGGTGGCAAACCACAATGAGGAGTGAATGTCTGTGCCTCTCAGAAAATGCTGGGTTCCTGTGCCCACTGCTTGCTCCTTGCCCCTGCTGCACTCCCAGCTTCTGTTTTATCCAGGCACAGCCACAGTCCCCTCCCTACACTCCCAACTTACAGAAGCTCATGGAATCTTAGGCCCTTAGAATTTCTAAGTCCATAGAACCTTAGAATTAGAGTGATAGAATCTTAGAATAAGACAATCAGGAGCTAAGAATGTTAGAATGAGTGAATCACAGGGTCTTATCATCTGTCATAGAATCTGAGACTTCGGATTCAGAGTCACTGAATCTCACAATCAGTTGAGAGACAGAGAATCTTAAAGGTAGAGAATTATTTCACTGAGATGTTTGCTGCCCTGGCAGCTGAGAGTCTTAAAAATCCCAGCTATACAGGAGAAGGATGAACAAATCCACAAGGGCCTCAGGCCCAACCTGCAGCCCATGGTGGAAATCCATTTGAGTCTCCCTGACCAGCGGGGGTCCGGCTTTATGTTGTACACCTCCAGGGTCAGGGAGCTCACTGCCTCTGGAGGTGGCTGGCACCATCTCCGGGAAGCTCTGTGTAGCAGAACGCTCCCTCTCACTTGGGCTGCCGTCTGCCGCTCTGACCCAGGCTCTCAGAACCAGCAGTTAAAAGCTTGGGCTTTGGAGGCAGCCAAGCTGGGTCTGCACCCCAGCTCTGCCTCTCTCTCCCAGCTGGGCACACTCCAGTTTCCTCATCTGTAAATTGGGATAATAATCCCCATGCCTGTTTATTGGAGTTGTTTTGATCACAGTGTGAACTAATGTATGTAAAGTGTTCAGCATAGGGCCTGGCAGAGAATTGGTGGTTAATCAATGGTAGCACTTATGACTGTGATTAGGCCCTCTCTTAGTCTTGGCTCTGCCCCCCGGGGCCGTGGAGACTGCTGTGCCCACCCCCTGCCAGACTGAACAGCCCTGTACTGCTCTGCCCAGGGCAAGTCTTGGCTCCCTGCCCATCTCTCTCACTTGCCCAGAGCTGTTCCCATCCCTGCCTGACTCCTGCCGGGGCTGCCCAAGAGGCAGAGTGGGCTGGGTGTGGCACCTGGCCCAGTGGGGCAGGACTGACCCCCATGTGGGCTTTAGCTGGCAGGGGGGGCAGGCTGGCACTGGTGCCTAGATGCCAGGGCCCATGTGCCTTTTTTCCTCTGCCCTCTCCTGTCAAGGAGGTGGGGATGTGCGGGTTTGAACCTGACCCTTGCTTGTACCCCCAGCTCCCTCTCCTCTGTGATCTTTCTGCCCAGAGCTCTGAGCAGCCCCTGGGAGCTTGGTACCTGCTCCTTGGGGGGCTGAAGGAAAAGAGCCTCCCCAGCCCTGGCCCCAGCCCCACTTCTCCCCAGAGATCTGTGCTCTGGGACGCCCTCCCTGGGCTCTGCCTGTTGAATCTTTCTGTGTGCTTTGCCTGGCTTGTGCCCTCTCGCTGTCTGTTACCTCTCCTTGTCTCTCTTCCTCTCCTCTTCTCCCAGGATCTCTGGGGACTTGGCCCAGGCCTGTGATTCTGTGCAGATTGGGGCTGGCGCTCATGGCCTCTGCATCTGTCCCCCTCCTTTTCTTCTCTGCCACCGTCTCTTCCTACCTTATCTGTCTTTGTCCCCTGATGCTGCCTCTGTCTTTGGCTCAGTCCCACTGTGTCTGTCCCCCTCCACCCCTAGTCTCTGCTCTGGCCCCACAGTTCTCTGCTATCTCTGTTCTCTGTTTCTCTGCCTCCAGCTCCTCAACCCTTCTCTGCTTGGGGACATTACTGAGGTCTTGTAGTTTGGGGCCTTGCCAGTCTTGGGCAGCTTAAGGGCCCCAGGCTGAGTGCTGTCCCCCAGTGTCACCTGATGGATCCTGTGCTGCCGTCCTCAGGGCCTCACTCTGGAGCTCCTGCGTGGTGCTGCCCCTGCTGGCGCTCACCTGGATGTCCGCTGTCCTGGCCATGACGGACCGTCGCTCCGTCCTCTTCCAGGCCCTCTTCGCTGTCTTCAACTCTGCGCAGGGCTTTGTCATCACTGCTGTGCACTGCTTCCTGCGCCGAGAGGTGGGGCTGGGCTTCTCCTGGCCCTGCCTGTCCACTTCCCCACACCAGTCCTCTGGCTTCTCCACGCTGTGCAGATGGGGAGGACTGAGGGTCCTGACCAGGCCTCCAGCTGAGCAGCCCTCGGTGTGGCAGCTGATAGCCTAGGGCACCTTGGCCTTGGCCTCCTGGCCTCCTAGGGCTCCTCCTTCCCTCTGACATCCCCTACACTGGATGTACTTCTTCCTTCCACACCTGCCTGGGTGCCTGGGGTGGGAGGCTCAGCCAGCTGTGGCCAGGGGCCCTGTGGCCTCAGCCCCAATAGGTACCCACTGCCCCCAGGTCCAGGACGTGGTGAAGTGCCAGATGGGCATGTGCCGGGGTGATGAGAGTGAAGACTCCCCCGACTCGTGTAAGAACGGGCAGCTGCAGATCCTGGTGAGTGAGGAGGCCTGGGCAGAGCACGGGTGGGTTCTGAGTGTGCCCCCTCGAGCTCCTTACCCCAAGCACCTTACCTTCCCATCCATGAGAGTGAGGGGACAGAGACGAGGTTTGATTCAGGCTCAGCCACTGGCATCTGGTTGGAACTGGGCAAGTCTTTCCCCCAGTCGGTTTCCCCACCTGTCAGCTGGGGCTGGAGTAGAACATGCTGGGCCCTTTGGACTCTGTTGGGTCGTGAGCACCTCTGGGTGGATCCCAGGGCAGGTGTGTGCCTCCTCCCCCCACCCTGATACATTGATCCACTCTCTGCCCACCTGCTCTGTTCCTCTCTGCCTATAGTCAGACTTTGAAAAGGACGTGGATCTGGCTTGTCAGACAGGTGAGTCTGCCAGTGCAGAGCTGAGATCGGCCCCCAGGGGTAGGTAAGAAGGGAGGGCCCCCAGCCCCATGGGAGGCCCTGGTGGGTTATGGCTGTGGGGTTTAGCTTTGGAGTCAGACAGCTGTAAATCAGATTCAAGGCAGTGAATAGCACTTACTGTACGACTTGAGCAAATAACTTACCTCTTTGAGCTTTAAATTAATTAGGGGACATCAAGTGCTTAGCTGGGTGCTCAGTACATAGTGGCTATTATATTATCCTATCATTTCCGATTTTTAGCAGAATCTCTTTCTAGTACTGTCTCCTGCAGAAGAGCTACCCAGGAGGTGGGAGGAGCAAGACCCTTTTGATAGCTTTGGGGCTGTGGGGTCAGAGGTCAGGACTATGCCAGGAACTGACCTGTGGGAGCTGGGCCTTGCCTTTGTTCCTTGCCCTGCCTTGCTGTGGGGCTCTGGGCCAGCTGTCGTCTTGACCCCTCTGGAGTGTGTACCAGCTGCCCAAGTCATCTCTCTAGGACTCAGTTTCCTCCTCTATCCAAGCTTGGAGGCTTGGTGCCTGCCAGCCTGGGAGGGGCACTTAGGGACTTCTCCTCCCCAGGACTCACCTCCTTCCCACTCCTGCCCCCAGTTCTGTTCAAGGAGGTCAACACTTGCAACCCATCTACCATCACGGGCACACTGTCCCGCCTGTCCCTGGACGAGGATGAGGAACCCAAGTCCTGCCTTATGGGTCCTGAGGGAGGCCTCAGCTTCTCACCACTGCCTGGGAATATCCTGGTGCCCATGGCAGCCTCACCAGGGCTGGGGGAGCCGCCGCCCCCACAGGAGGCCAACCCCGTGTACATGTGTGGGGAGGGTGGCCTGCGGCAGCTAGACCTCACATGGCTGCGGCCCACCGAGCCAGGCTCCGAGGGGGACTACATGGTGCTGCCCCGGCGGACTCTGAGTCTACAACCTGGTGGCGGGGGTGGAGGTGGTGAGGACCCCCCAAGGGCCCGGCCTGAGGGTACCCCCCGGAGGGCCTCCAAGACACTGGCCCACACCGAAGGCTACCCCAGCTTCCTGTCTGTGGACCACTCTGGCCTGGGGCTGGGCCCTGCCTATGGGGCTCTGCAGAACCCATACGGGATGACCTTCCAGCCACCACCACCGACGCCCAGTGCCCGCCAGGTGTCCGAGCCAGGGGAGCGCAGCCGGACCATGCCCCGTACCGTGCCAGGCTCCACCATGAAGCTGGGCTCTCTGGAGGTGAGGGCTGTAGGGAGTGGGGTGGGGGAGGGAGGCCTGTACCCATGTGCCTGAGACTGAGTCACAGGCAGCAGTCGGGAAGGGACACCCAGCAGCCTCCCCAGAGCAGCACCTTTGTTCAGAGCCCCCGGGAGTGTGTGCACTGTGCATTTCTCCCTCTGTTCCTGCTCATGAGGGCTCCAGGGGAATCCCAGTTTCTCTGAGCTCCTCAGATGGGCTTGAACTTCATGTGCCGAGGGTGTCCTTCTCTGTGCATTCACATTTGGTTTAGTGCCTACCTGGGAGTGCTGCTTAGGATAGGTCTCCCTTTAAGGGGCCTGGGGCTCAGGTCAGGGGCTGTATTGTTAGGGAAGCCATGTTGTAGGGGCTGGGAGTCAGTCTCAGGGTCACACAGGTCTGAGTTCGGATCTGGGAACTGCTAATTATCAGTGACATCTTCAGCAGCATCTCCCTCTGAGCCCCCATTAATCTTTCTTAGCCTTAATCTCATTAAGCCTCAGTTTCCTCATTTGTAAAGTGGGGATAACACAGCAACCTGTTTGTAGAGTTGTTTCGAGGGCTAATTGTTAGGAAACATAAATGTCTGTGTGGAACAGGTAGAAAGTGCTAGATAATTGCTGCTGTTACCATCCCTGAAAGCAGCCTCAGGCACTGCCCACAGGCCGGTGGTGACCAACCCTCTCCTGAGAGAATGTAAGCCCCTCTCTGTCCCTGCCTGTGTGTTTCTGTGGGTGCCCCACCTTCCCTCTGGCTGCCTTGGGCCTGCTCCCGCAGGGAATCAAGCAGGTGGTAGTGGCCCACTGCGGAACTCTAGAACATTCTGGAATTCTGGTTGGAGAGCTGAGGGGGATGTAGATAAGGAAAGAGGCAGGAATCACGGCTCAGACACTGTTGGCTGCTCATGTTTGGCCTCAGAAACCTCCCCACCCTCCGCACAGAGGAAAGTAAGTTAGCAGCTAGGGGGTTCGCAAGTGTATAGTTTGTCTCCCAAAATGTTTCTTGAACATTTGGTGCCTGCTTCTGCTGCAGATGGCAGAACAGGAAGGCGTAACCAAGACAGAAAACCCGACGCTGACACTGGGGAGGGGTGCGCTCAGCGTGGCAAGTTTTGTTCTGTGGACACGTGGCTGTGGCTGGGCCACTGAGGAGGGGCCGGCATTGGGCTCCTTCCTTGTGTGGGAAGTAGCAATAAATGTGCAGTGTCTTGAGGGGTCAAGAATGATACCCAGAATTCTGGTGTGGGCACTGCGTTGGAGGTGGAGAAGCAGGTTGGGGTGGGGAATTCCGAGTGTTATCAGTTGGGCCTGTGTGTGTGTGTTGCCTTGTGGATATTGGGGGACGGGGAGAGGTGTCCTGCTGCCTCCAGACGGACAGATGTGGCTGGGAACATGGAGGACAAAACATGTGCATGGTGAGAGGCAGGAGAAGGTCCAGGGTAGAGAGAGGAAGGCCCAGTGTTGAGAAGCCAGGATGGGTGGTGGGGAAGGGAGGCAGGGAAGAAGGAGGACTGGGGGCACGGTGGCATGAAGGCCAGTGGTGGCGAGCATGTCTGTGGGCCTGGGCCTTGGGAGCTCTGGATGGTGATCTTAGCGTCACCCCTGAGGACTTTGGGGCAAATCCCTTCTCTTCCCTGGATCTGTTTCCCCAGTGTAACCTGCAAAAGTTGGCTTTGGTCTCATGTACACACCTGGTACCAACATTCCAAGACACTAAGGCCTCCCTGAGTGGCACTGGAGACTGTAGGTCATTGGAGCCTTGAAGGTGGTCTTGGAAAGTGAGGGTCTGGAGAGGCAGGAGGGGCCAGGGAGGCCAGGGAGGCAGGGCCTGGTTCATCAGGAAAAGGGGAGGTGGAGTCAAAGGAAGGCCTGAAAACCTGAGTCCTTGTGTTTGCAGGATAAGTGGAGGGCTGCAGAGAGAAGGGAGCCTGTGGCTGGCAGGGAGAACGAGGCAAGATGGGACAGAGGGGTAGAGAGAAGACACAGAAAGGAGCGTCTGCCCTGTGATCCTGTGTTGGAATCTGTGTCCCTGCCACAGTGGAAACTTGCACTGTGACATTTGGTCCGTGTGCAGTCATGCGTGTGTGTGTGCACCAGTGTGTGTGTGTGCTCCGCATGAGCGTCTGCCTGCAGGTTCAGACGTGCAGGCTTTGTAGGGGCAGCAGGGAGTTTGGACCCGGGGCCTGAGCTGCAGCCCTGTGGCAGAGTAGTGCCTTGGCTCCTCATACCCAAGGGCTGCCCTCTAAGGTTTCCTAACTTCTGGGTCTGAGGGGTGGGGGGTGGGTGCAGCAAGCATACCCTGGGTTACCAGAGTCTGGTCTCTAAGGCCTGTGCATGTGGTAAAAAGCTTTCTTCTCCTCCACTGCCTGCCTGGTGCTCCTTTGCAGCGAAAGAAGTTACGGTATTCAGACCTGGACTTTGAGGTAGGTTCAGTGCGTGTGTGCATGTGTTTGCAATGGGGGCATCTATCTGTGGTGTCCCTGGGGGGTCCGTGCCCCAAGTTAGCCCAACCCCCATTGCAGAGCCTGACCCCAGGACCCCAAGCCTATGGCTTCTTCGGGATCTTCCTAACGTCCTCTCCCTGCCCACGCCCCCAGCTCTGGGGTGGAGAGAGAGCCAGGCTTTGTCCCAGAGGGCCAGCAGCAGGCGGGCATGTGGGGCTTCAACATGCTGAGGGCCCTGGGCAGGGGCGGGTGAGGCTCACAGGGCTGCCCCAGGGGAGAACACCTCTTCTGACATCCTGTGGCTCCCAGAAGGTGATGCACACCCGGAAACGACACTCAGAACTCTACCACGAGCTCAATCAGAAGTTCCACACTTTTGACCGCTACCGCAGTCAGTCCACGGCCAAGGTGAGGGCTCCTCCGTGGCTTTCCCTGCCTGAAGCTCAAGGCCCGATCTAGCGTGTTGGCCCCTGGGGTCAGACCCTGACCCGTGGCCCCCATTGCAGAGGGAGAAGCGGTGGAGTGTGTCCTCAGGTGGGACAGCTGAATGGAGCATGTCCAGAGTAAGTCCCCTTGGGCTAGGTGGGGTTAAGTGGGCTCTGAGGGACTCATTCCCTCTCTGCTCTCCCCCCTGCCTGGACCACCTCAGCCTGTCTCGCCAAGGGCCTGCCCGTGGCTTAGGCAGCAGTTCGGGGGCTGGGTAGGGATGGATAGCATTGACAGAGGCTCCACGAGGGTCTTGAGGTGGGTGGGCAGACAAGACCCATGGTCTGAGGGGGCCATTCGGAGCACAGAGGTCAGGAACCCAACTCTGGAGCCACACGGATCTGGATTTGAGCCCCACTTTGGCGCCCGATTGCTCAGTAACTCTGGCCTCCTCAGTTTGCTCACCCGCGTCATGGGAAAGAGGGTACTGGCCCGTTTCCACGGGCCCTTCCCACTCCCCCGCAGGAGAAGCCCAGCCCTGGGGAGCATCCTGGCTTGTCCCAACAGCGGCGACATCAGAGCTGGAGCACTTTCAAGTCCATGACGTTGGGCTCGCTGCCCCCCAAGCCCCGAGAACGGCTGGCCCTGCACCGAGCCACAGCCTGGGAGCCCACAGAACCACCTGACGGGGACTTCCAGACAGAGGTGTGAGCACCACGCCGGACTGCACACTGCGTATAAATATATATATCTCTCTATTTTCACACTCCACTTTGGAACTACCCAGGAGCCAGCGCCCCCTCCCCTCTCCCAAGGGCTGGGCAGGGAGGTGCAGTGGACTTGGCTGGGCTGGGGGAGCCAGATGTGGCGTGACTTGGGGGGCCGGGGCCCTTCCCTTTTTCTCAGAGGCCCCTCAGCCACTGGAGCTCCATCTTCACACCAGCCTGTCTGTCCCTGTCCCGGGCTGGGGAGGGTGGAGGGGAACTTTGTTGGGAATAAACTTTACTCTGTGGATTTTGCTGCTGAACTCTTTGCTTCATCCAGGTGAAGGCCCAGCCCTGGGACCCCAACTGTTTTTCCTCCTTCTCCTTGGTTCACATCACTCATTGTCATCAAATTGTGTGATGGGGCCAGATCAGCCCTGACTGGGAGGGGGTGCCTGGGCTCTCACCCCATCTTTGCCCCTGACTCCCTGGGTGACCTTGGACACATCTCCTGCCCTGTTGGGGTCTGGGAATATGGGATGGAACCCTTGCAGCTGGCCTTCTCCAGTGACTTTGATAGTCATGGCTGCTGTTCACTGGGGCCCAGAGGCCAGACTACCAGGGCTGGAGCCGAGGCAGAGCCTTGTGATGTCAGCTTCCCCCTCTGTAACCTGGAGATGGTCATAATGCCTAGTCCTAGGGGCTGTTATGAGGATGAAACAAATTGATACATATAAAGCCTTAGTGAGGCCTTGGTACAAAGAAGCTCTTTAAGTATTGGCTATTAACACTTGACAATTGGTCTCAGGCTGTGCTCTGTGCTAAGAGCTTCCACACATGACCCTTGACCCCTCACAACAACCTTGCTGCAAGATTTTAGGTTGCCAATTTTGTGGATAGGAAAATGAGGCCAGAGATGGAAAGTGACCTGCTCAAGGCCACCATCAGAGGCAGAGCTGGGATTTAAAGCCCAGTCTTGGTGGACATTGGAGTGCCCCACCCTTAACCAGCCCCTCCCTGATGGGACAGGACGCTTGACTCAGCTTCCTGGGACCTGGCCTTCGTGGCTGCAGGGGAGCAGCAGGGAGCTGAGCCACGGTGGAGCCTCAGTTTCCAGGGCTAGGGTGGGGGTGTGGTAGAGGGGCTAGGTTGGTGTGGTGCCAGAGGGCAAGGGTGGGAGATTCACTGCTCGGGTATATTCTTCACACACTTCAGTGGATGGACCCATGCTCACTTCCCAGGCACCCAGGAAAAGAAGTGATCAGGATAATCAGCATGTGGACATGGCGCAGTAGGCCCTGGCTCTTCCGTGGTCAGGCGGCATCAGGAGCAAGGGCCACAGGTGCGGCTGCTGGCCTGGTCATTCAGGAGCATGGATACGCTGGGCCCTGCCCCCAGGGACTCACACTGAGATGCAGGCCCTTGGGGAGCTGGCAGTCTCTGGGGCTGGCTGACACGTCACAGGGATGAGTTGGGTGCTATAGGAGCCAGGGTGGGGGAGAGGGAGAAGGGGCTGGCTGCTGAGGTGGGGGTGTCTCAGCTAACGGCCTCCTGGAGGGGCTGGAGGAGTGGGGGTCTTACTGGCACAGGCTCCCTCAGGCTCCTCTGAATCCTGCCTGCTGTGAGCCTGGTCAGAGGCAGGGGCAGAGTCCTCGGGCCCTGGGCTTTTTCAGGCCTCCATGCTCCTGTGATTGTGCTCATCACCTTGGCCTCGCTCCTCTTGGGCAGCCTCAGCACTTACGTGTACAAAGTGCTCACTCAGTCTTCAGGGTAGGTATCGCGACTCCCCTATTTCACAGATGAGGAAACCAAGGCTCGGGGGATGCAACACCCACAGCTTGTAAGGGCCTACTGGGACTTGTGGCCAGGAGTGTTGGAATCATGATACCAGTCAGCTGAGGCAGAAGGGAACTTTGTTCACTCAGTAGTTGCAAGCTGTAGCCAGGACAGCAGTGGGCATGTGTGGCTGGCCCTGGGCACCAGGTCCCAGGGTCTGAGTGCCCCTGAAGTTCTGACCCTTCCAGCTGCTCTGAGTCAGCTTCATTCTTTCAGGCGAGCTTCCTCACGCCCCCCACAACTCCCCAGCGCCCTGCCCCAGGCCTACCTGGTTTCCTTCTCCCAGCTCCCTTCACTCAGACACCTGCCCCCACAGGGAAAGAGCCTTTCTCCTGAATTCTAATCTGAAAACCCCAAGGAAGGGCTCTGATTGGCTCCAGGCAGGGGCCTGGGGCTTGGGGTTGCCACAAACAGAGCCCCCCATCCCTGTCCTTGTGCCAGAAGACCCCACCCCACATCACGGCTCAGGCCTTTCTCAGAGCCACCACCCAAAACCTCAGGTTTGCTGTGTGCCTGTCTTCATCCTTCCCAGCCCTGGGCTCCACTGGCCACCCCTATCATCTCAGCTGTGATGTGCATTCCCCTCCTACCCTTGTAGTTTCTTGCTTAGCATCTGGTTTGAGGAGTTTAGTAATCATCTCGTTGGTTCTGCTCAAATAGCAACCACAGCGGCAGCAGAGCCTGCTGAGTACTCATCCCTTCTGTTGTCAGGGGCAAAACTTGCCTGGGTTGAGGGCTGTGCTCCTCTCTGCCCCTCAGTCTCTACTCCCCCACTCACTTGCCATGTGACCTTGGACAGGTCACTGGATCCTTTCTGACTTGGATTTTCCTATGTGCCGGCCCAGGAAGACCCCTATCCCCTATCCTCTTGGTTCCTCAGTATACATGCTAAGTGCCCAGGGCAAGGCAGACTCCAATAGGGTTTTGACATTTCAGACTAGTGGGAAGTCAAGAAGGGTGTTGAGCGGGGAACTAGCACAATCAAAAAATTTTATTAAGATATCATTGATGTACAATCTTATGAAGGTTTCACATGAGCAACATTGTGGTTAATATATCCACCCATATTATCAAGTCCCCCACCACATACCCCATTACAGTCACTGTCCATCAGTGTAGTAAGATCTAGCACAATCAAATTTATAAATAGGATTGCTCGGGGTGGCTGGGATATGGAAGGAGGTAGTTACTGACGAGTGAGGGTGCATGCAGAGAGACCAGTGAGACCATCCATATGAAGGAAACTTTAAGGGCATGCTCTGGGGGAGGCGCAGAGTCAGTGTGTATGTAGTGGGGGATTTGTCAGCCCTGTGGTGGACAGTATGGGAAGAAGTTAGATGACTTGTGAGCCTCTGTTCTTACACACCTGGATGGATGACTGCCACTGGATTCAGGGCACTGGAAAAGGACCAGTTTTGGGGGAGACAATCATGACTTTATAGTCTCAGGAATGTTGACCTTGAAATACCTCAGAGATAGTCAACAGGGAATTTCAAGTAGGAAGAGGGTAGTTAGAACTAGAATTCAAGAACTAGACTAGAGTCACTGGCACGGCAGGAAACCATATTGGGGCAGGCTGTAGAGTGAGTGGGAAGTGAAGAAATGAAGACGGAATAGACATTTGTTGAGGTGGAGCTTTGAAAAGGGAGAGAGCTCAGGACCCACTGTAGGCTTGGAAGGTGAATAAGCTGGAGAGTATGATGGAATGTTTGCAGGAATGGAGAGGCTGTCCTTACCCGCTCCCCAAGATCCACATAATGATGGTCCCAAAAATAACCAGCCCTACCATCCTGGGAGGCAGGGTCCTGAGACCTGGTAATGAATATCATCACAGAGATTGATTCTGCTCATATGTCGGGCTGTAGGCCATCCGCAGAAGGGGAGTGGGCTGGTGCAGGGACGGAGGGATAGGAATGGGCACTCAACGAAACCTTGGCTGTAAGACTGCTGGGAGGAGGAAACTCGACTCCATGGTGAGTTCCCAGGGCACAAGACAGAGAGATTGACACAGTGCCTTGGGCTTTCTGCAGCGCTTTCCCCTGCACCTCTTGACCTGACAGGAGCAGGGATGAACCCTCCTCCTAAGCCTCAGCTCCCCACTGGGCCGCCCCAGGCTAGTATGTCCCCATCCCCTCTGGTGGCACCACACAGCCCCAGCCATCAATCCAGGTGTCCCTAGAGTCAACCAAGAAAGTCAATATTTAATTTGGGCACCATGTCAATGCCATCGATTGCTGACCCCCCTCCACTTCCTCAGGCTCATTTGTCACTTCCCACCCACTGTGGGGGAGGGGGGCTGGAACCCAGTAGGGGCAGAGCTCAGCCTGGGTTGACTTGGGCAAACTAGCCTGCGCGTGGGAGCGCAGTCCTGAGGCACACAGCCTCCCGTTCTCCCTAATAATCACTGATCTGCGTCCTTTGAGTTTCTCTGAGACCTGTTTCTGGTGAGGTACGGTGGTAAGGTGAGGAGGGGAGGTCATCTCTCCCCAGGCAGCGGGAGTCTAATTCCCAGCAAGATCCAGACACCGAACAGATGTGCTTGCAGGTTTAATGAGGGAGGGAAGGAGAGCTGTGCCTGCTCAGGCTCCTGCAGCCCCGCCTGGGCTCCCAGGGCTGTGCCTGTGGGACACTGTGGAGCCCGGGTGGGGACCTTGAGACAAGGGGGCATCTCCAGGCCCCACAGAGGGTCTTGGAGGTGTGTTGAGCTTAGAGGCTTAGAGCCTGTTTGGGCAGCACAGAGGCTGAGGGGAGTGCAGGGCCCAACTCACGTCTGGGTGGGAGTCCAGCCCTACTGCTTGTTCTTGTCAGCCTATGGATGCAGATATGGGCAGGTGGGCTGTGCCCCTTGGCATTCTTCCCCAGCCCCGGCCACCTGCCCTCTGGAAGGGAATGGGGTCTACTTTGGGGACGAGGCTTGTGCTCAGATTGCAGCTCCACCCCCAACTTGCTTAGTGAGGTTGGGCAAGTTAAACAACCTCCCTGAGCCTTAGATTCCTCCTCTGAGAAATCTCTTAGGGACTTGATCACTTTGTATAGTTTTCAGAGGGTCAGGGATGGGCAGGGGAAGCCTTGGTGGCCCAAGGGTGCTACCAGAGTTCCCACACTGAAAAGCTGCCAAATCTGTTGCTGCCTTCAGAAGCTGCCAGCAACACTGCTGTGAGGCCGCTCATTACCAGCTAGCTGGAGCCACCAGGCACCTTCAGTGCCCCTCCTGGCACCAAAGGGCTCAGAAGCACCGAGCTGTGGCAACTCCCATCCTGAGCTGCTCCAGCCGCCCAGCTGACCCACTGTGGGCCCCTCAGTCATGCTTTGAACCAGGAGAGCCTGACCTGGTCATTCATTTATTCTATAAATGTTGTCTGATGCCAACTCATGCCACACCCTGAACTGGGTGCTGACAACATAAAAATGAGGAAGCCAGACTCTAAGAAGGATACCACGGAGGAGGGAAGCGGGGGGAAGGGATGG